CGCTTGACATTATAATTTTTGATCACATACTATTGAAAAATTAAATAAAAAATGATTGATAAATAAATTATAACATTCTCAAATATTATGTTAAAATATTTATTTTAAATGATTTACATGGTATAATTCATGTTTGGAGATATTTTTTAATTATTAGATATTAAATATGTGGTAGCATAATCCGTTCTACTTCGAATTGATGTCAGATAATAGAAATTTTAATTGAGTAAGAATATTGAGGATATCTAAAATTAAAAAAATTTGAAAAAATATTCTTACAAGTTACAAGTTATTGTGTCAAATTATGTTATTATCTTATGTTTAATGAAATTATTAAATATATCAAATTTTAAAATTAATGTTTTACTAGTTTATTTAACTATTTTTGTTGCCAAATCACATTTTTAAATATCAATTTTATAATTTTAATTTATTTATTAGTTTTTAAAAATTCAACCAGATTCTGCCAAATTCAGCTGTTACTATTTAAGTTTTAAATTATTCTGTCACATTCTGCAAAAAATCACTGAAATTTTAATTACATTATGTAATTCATTCGTTACCATTTATATTTTGAGTGTAATAATCCATCAAATTGAATCTTTTAATCACTCAGAGTAATATGCCCACATGCGATTTCTTTGTCCAATGTAACATAAAAATTCGCGTCCAATAAACTAAAGTTTTTGGTATAAATAAATTGACATATTTAATTTTGGGTTAATGACGAGTACTTCACAGATCATATTAATATATAGTATAAAATATTAAAATTATAATCCTAAATATATTTATAAAACCGAATAATACAAATGAAAATAAAATTCGATTAAGCCATGTAATTAAAACTATTACCTAAATGGATAAAAATCAAATTCAGATTCGGGTATTTACAAAATAATAATTCCAAGTTAATAATACTAATCTATCTCACGAATAATATGTATGACCCTTATCCAAAATGCAAATAAACCTATAGAAAACAACCCCCATATTCAGATTGGCATTATTTGCGAATGATCTTATTATCACCAAGAAAAAATATTTATTTTTAAGGATAATCTGTAAATACGATTATATATGGATTTAAAACCAACTCGTGTCGTGTGAATTAAAATAAAAACAAAAAAATATGGTCGGAGCAGC